CACAGCTCTGGATGAAATTCTTAAACATGATCAGGTAATCTGCAGTCTGTGTTACTGGCAATTCATCTAAGTACCTTTATATAATAGGTCCATTAACTGACCCAAGATAAAACGTGAAGAGTTTATACCTATGCTGATCACACATCTGTCAAGATAAAATACAGAGGTGGAATAAAGTTGACTAGTTAACCCAAAACTATTTGGGTACCTGCTAGCCTCGATGCTTCAGAACTACAAGAGACAATCCTGCAATCAAGAAGCACAGAGTTTGGCTGCAAAGGAGAGCACACAGAACAGTCAGGGAATCCTGACTCAGTACTGATGCTCACCACTCTCCAGGGGCTTTCACCTGCCTTCTCCACTCCCTCACATATGACCTTAGCCTCCAGTGTGAGCCCTCGCCCCTAAACATTGGTCTTCTCTACCCTCAGGCTTCTTTCCGCTCTACACATTCAGCCTGGAAACGGCCACAACTGAAATTTCAACCACCATCAACTGCAGCAGAATCTCCAACTCATGGATCTGATCTTGCCCCCCCCCATGCCCCCCCACATCTGCAAGGCTGGCCTGTAGTTCTCTCCCACATCCAGTTGCCCAGCCTGGAATCTCAGGGATCACATCAACTGTTCCTCCTTTCCACTCCTGCCGCACGGCTGCTGAAGTTCTACCCATCTTTCCCCTCCTTCCTACTCAGCAGTTATGTTTTCGGGGAGGGGGGATGTGGCAGTTTTTCTGCAGAGCCCTGGCTGCCCTAGAACTTGCTCTGTAGACCAGGCTGGCCTTGAACTCAGATCCCTCTGCCTCTGCCTTCCAAGTGCTGGAATTAAAGGCACTCATAATTTCTGCTTGAGCTTGTAAACTGGTTTCTCTGCTCTCAGTATCACCATCCCTCCCTGCCCTGAAACTGCTCTCCTGCCGCTCCCAGTTAGCATACATACCAGCCACACCAGAACTTGTCTTTCTCGCCTCCCTCCACCACATTCTCACGGGTTTTTACAGCCCTTTCACCTCCCTGTACCCACAGCCTGCCCATACCATGCACCTCTTCTGTCCCTGCTGCCCCTCTATAGTCCTCTAAAACTCCATCAGACATCACCTCTGTCAGCAAGTTTTTTCTGACACCCTCTCACTCGGGAACAGATTTTCCACTTTTACCTAAATACTCTATTGCCTTAATTTTTTTTTAAAAAAAAAAAAAGACTATCCCATCAAACTGAATGCAATGGAAGGGGACAAATTTTCTAATGTCACCCGGTAGGCACCACAACCAGACACGTGTACTGAACAATGTTTTTCCCTCCCCTAGACTTTCACCTGGCTCCAGACAATAGAGATGCCTTTCTTGTACCTACTTTAGGCAGGAAACAGACTTAACATGCAGCAGTTCTATGACGTCTGCTCCATCTTTCCCTGACCCTCACCATCTACTCTCCTGCCCCGGCTCTGGGTTAGTCGGTTCCCACAGTTTCCTGTTGGCTGCTCCTCGGATACATTAAGACAATGATTAAAAGCCAACACAGATGCTTCCTCACCTATGAAATGAGTAGATCTCAAAGGGTGCTTTTTCCACTGAGAGGTCATTTGGATTTGTTCTCTGTTCTACTCTGTCTCCTCTGGGCATTTCTCCACTCCTGAGCATGGACACAGGTAACCCCTGAAGTCCAGGGCCCTGTCCACCTCTGTCAAGTGTCACAGGATGGTTAACAGCAAACAAGATCTCTCTAATGCAAACTTCAAAATATTAGGAATATTTCAATACCACCCCAAAGGTAGTTAAAGACCCCACCACCTCTCAGAGAAAGCCAATGACTTCCACATTGTCTAGCTCTGTTTTGAAATTTCATGGTTGCCTTTAGTTTTAGAATCCAAGATTTAGAGAACAAACTTAGATGCATCCTATCCAAATACCCAAGAAAACCATACGGTTTTATTTTTTTAAGACAGTCTCTCTACATGTACCAACTAGCCTATAACTTTTTATGTTGCCCATGTTGCCTCAAACTCCTGATTCTCCAGCTTCAGTCTCCCAGGTGCTGGAATTAAAGGTGCATGCCACCACAAGTTTCTCCATAATTCTCACATATGGGCAATGCACTTGCTATTCTGATTATCCAGTGATGTTTGCATTGGCCTGAACTGCACACTTGTCAAGAGTTAGTAAGAAACATGAATGGTAAGTTTCTTGTACTATGTTATAAGAGATGTCCTATTTTAGTTTTTTTAAAATGCTATGTATGAGCGTTTGTCTGTATCTATATATGTGCACTGTGTGTGTGTGCCCAGTACCCACAGAGGCCAGAAGAGGGAGTCAGATCCTCTGGAACTGGAGCTACAGATGGGTCTGAACTTCTTCTTGTGGGGCTGGTAACTGAACCCCAGTCCCCTGCAAGAGCAGCAAGTGCTCTTAAGCATATACGAGTGCTTAATGGACTTGCCAGGTCTCACCTTACATCCCTGCAAACTTTGGTTTTGTTTTTCGAGACCGGGTTTCTCTGTGTAACAGCCCTAGCTGTCCTGGAACTTGCTCTTGTAGACCAGGCTGACCTTGAACTCACAAAGATCCTCATCCCTCTGCCTTCTAGAGTGCTAGGATTAAAAACATATGCTACCACTGCCCAGCTAAATTTCTTATATAAACCTGCAAATTCTGCCTATCAAGAGTTAAGGGATACATTTCTGGAACATGGTATGGTCCCCATCTGTCATGGATCTCAGAGTGAGCAGTTTTGTTGAAAAACTTTCTCCTGAGCCTGAATTTCACAAACAGAGTCTACCCAGAACAGTCGAAAATAACACTCGATGTCTTTTCCCAACAGGAGCCTCAGGCCCTTCAGGAACTGAAGGCAAACCCCTCCATCCAGCCGCTGTAGTTAGGGCTTGCTTTTCAATTAGTTTCAATCACAATACGGCATGGCAGGGAGCCTACAGACTTGCCTCTGGGTAAAGGTCTGTAGTACAGGCCTGAGGACCTGGATTTGACCCCAGAAACCCACTTAAATGGGAAAACCAACTGCACAGAACTTCTCTCTGACTTCCCTGCATCAAACACAAACATGACAACAACAAAGAGTATGGCATGGGTGGTGATTAAGAGCCCAAGTGCTTAAGTTCAAATCTCTATTCCACCATTTCTATGACCTGATTTTGCTTCATCAGCTACCATGGAGCCACCCACATCATTTAACTGTACTGTGGATTAAATGTTGTCGTGACTGTGAAGTGCCTGGTCTGGTGTTCACGAATGCTACTGTTGCTGTCAGCAGCTTCCTGCTCCAGGTCATCACCTCCATCAGTAAATTCACCTCCAGGGTTTATCTGAAGGTTAGAGATGGCCCTAGCACTCCCAGCCAGTAAGTGGTGGGGCTGGAATTCAGATTCTAAGACAGCCTTGTCCGACCCTCAGAGCCATAAAATGAGATTTAACAATTAACATATTTGTTAAATCCTAAGTAATAGGTAAGGGCATGGGGCACTACATTCAGGGAAGTGAGACAGACAAACAAACAGGTAAAGGCAAGAGGAGGAATTCTCGTGATCTGAACATGCTTCTCTCCCCCAAACAATAGGGATCAGGGGGCCTTCGGGGCCATCTAACAAGAAGCAGAGCTAGTAGGCTTGTTCACCCCTCAAAGAAACCCGGGGCCAAACTCTTTGTTCCAAGTGAATCCTGTCATGCCCCAGTCTTATACCCTGGAGTCTGGGGTAGCTGCAGCGCACGAGAGTCTAGACCCTCCTCACTAACTGAGACAAGCACTTTATGAATCACATTGTTCATTTACTGCGTGCACATTTTAACAAGTTAGGAAGAAGCCTTTGTGTATCGCACAGGCACAAGAATCCAATGTGTTTGTCAAGAACACTGGTGTGTCTGCTCTGTCAGTACCTGAGACGCAAGTGTCATTCATGGACCTTTCCTGAGCAACGGGGCACAGGAGCAGAGCACACCGCACCGAGGACCTCCTCCTCTGAGACTGTCTCGTCCATGCGAGTGGTTCTAAGGCCCCCAAGGGCAAGGCGTACAAACTGATGGGCTCTTTAGCTCCTGATCCGGGACACGGGGGTACACACACGACCCAGATCTACCCCAGTTAGAGCCCCTGACTTAGACGCTCCCTCCTGCTGCACAGCCATTCCAGGCTCAGGCCTACAGAGCCGAGTAAACACTCCCCTCCAAGCCACCTGCCCTGAGTGAAGACCCAAGACCTCTTCCTCTTCCAGGACCATCCATCCATCCGCTCCCTCCTCCCTCCCACTCCAGCACACATGTTTTCATGCACAGCTCGTGGCATTTTCTTTATAGTTCCTGGATAGTCTCTCCTTACACCATAAGCCAGAAGTCCTTTAAAAGCTCAAGATAACAGACATCACTTGCTTTCAAACCCCCAAGAACCTACTACTTCCCCTGGGATCAAGGTCACCTCCTGACATCTAGAAGAGCTGCTTTCTAGTGGATGGCCCTGCAGGGCTCTGCAAAGACACCACCTGCAGGAAGTGACATCACCACAGAGCCTAGAAAGAGTGACCTGGGAGATGGGCCTCTGGGCATGCTACGGGGATTGTAGTCTTGGTCAAATTAATTGAAGTGAAGGTCCAGCCCACTGTGGGTGGTGCCATTCCCTGGATGACACCCTATGCTAACAGAAACAGGATCTGGGCAGCACACATATTCATCATTCTCTGCTTCCTGATTGCGGCTGCCACGTGACAAGCTGCTTCAAACTCCTCTCTTTCACTTCCCTGCCATGACTGGCTACACCCTCAAACTGTGAGCCAAGATGACTTGTTTGCCTTTAATGGCTTTGCAGCAACAGGAAAGGAAGGAAGACAGCCTTCGGTTTAGACTGATCCCAGTTTCCTTCAGGGTTTTGTCCACTTGCCTGTCAGCTCATTTCCCAGGACACAGCAGAGAGGCAGGTAAACCATCTGTCAAATGAAAGACCCTAGAAACCCAAGCCCACAGGCTGCTCTCCTGTCCGTCCCTAACTCTCAAACGGACTTACCGACACAATCGCAGGTGGGAAATTCGGCCTGGGCCCTCTTGGCAGGCGTGTCCAGAAGACTCTTGGTGGGCGTGTCCAGGTACTTCAGAGGCGATTCCAAGAAACCACTGAGGGTGGGTGTGAGTGGGTTCTCGGCCTTGGTGGGCGTGGCCTCCTGGCTGCCCTCCTCCGAATGAAAGCAGGTGGTTGAGAGTACAGTCACAGCCCCCGAAGACTCAATCTTGATCTTCTTGGGGGAGCGGGTGGCGAAAGGGCTCTCCGGAGCTGGGAGACATGTTGTTTGGCTCTCAGGGTCTTGAATGGGCACCGAAGGAGGGCCCGGAAGCCCAAAGCTATCCCCAAATTCAGCTTCAAATTGCCGGATGAGCTCTTCCAGCTTGTCATCAGCAGGAGGAAGGGGGCCACCGGTGGAGCCTGGCTGTAGGGCTGTCATAGGGCTGGGGGACCTCATTTCCTGAGTAGGGGGCAGCAGGCTGTCCCCAGAGGGACTAGGTGCAAATAGCGCAAGAGAAGGTTCTGGGGGTAGAGGGGCAGCAGAGCTCTGGGAGGCAGCACCCTGGGAGGCGGGAGGCGGGGCAGGGAGCTGGGCAGGCGGAGGATCCTGCACATCCTCTGAGGCTTGGGATTTTAGCCCTTCGAGAACAATCTGCCGAAGAGGCAGGAAGAGAGGCTGCATGTCCCGGGACCTGGATTTCTTGATCTGAATGGGCTTTCGGACACTGGGCTTGATCCCAGGGGTGGTTTTCTCAGCTCCCACAGGACCTCCAGCTGGGGTAGGGGGCTTCTTCTTCTTTTCCTTGGGTGGTTTGTCAGGAGGTCGTGGGGCCGGTGAGCCTGGTGGGGCCCACCAGCCAGGAGCCTGAGGCTCTGTGGGAGCAGGGCAGGAGGCATCATGGGCCTGCTCCAGGAACAAGCTGCGCTTATGGTGGAGGTGCTGCTGCAGTGCCGTCTGGGCCTTCTGGTGGGCATCAGGCTCTGGGGAGGGCAGGGGAGCCTCCCTCTGGGAAAGAGGGGATGGTGCCGGGGCAGGGGAGGAAGAGGGGGCCTCAACCTTGACCTTGGGCTTGGTGGGCAGGGCCTCGGGCCGCTTGAATACTGACTGGATGTAATCACTGGCACTGCCCAATAGCTGCTCCAGTTCAGCCATAGGGTCAGGGCTTGGGCGGGGCGCAGGCCAGGAGTTCCGGGGTGTTGCTGGAGGGGTGTCAGTACCCCAAGCTTCGGGAAACTCAGTTCTTGGAGTTGCTGGAGGAAAGGCTGGGCTATCGGGAGCAAAGGATGGATGTTCCTCTGGGGGAACCACAGGCCATGAGGGGGCCCGGAGGTAGGACTGGGGAGACCTGAAAGGGGCAGAAGGGGACAAGGCCTCAGGGAGTGGACAGGACGCCTGGGAGGTGGAATGGGAAGGCTGAGGGAGGGCAGAGGAGAGCTGTGTGAGGGCCTCGATGGCGATGGCTGTCTGCAGGCTGATGTTTTTTTCCTTGGCAATGCTCAAGGCACTCTGAGACAGAGGCAGGCCCTCCAGAGGAGGTACCTGGGGGACCTCAGAGCTAAGGAGTGGTCTGGTACTTGGGGTTGGGAGGCCAGCCTCACCAGGAGGCAGAGTGCCTGGGAGTCTGGGCCGCTCCTGCCCTCCCTCCATGGCCACAGACTTGATCTTCCCCTCCAGCCACTCGAGGTAGTCGGGGCACTCTGGGCCATCGCAGTTGCAGTTGGGTGGTTTCATGCCATGCCTCGCAAGCGCCAGGGCTGTCTGTAGCGTGTCGAGGTCTTCACTGCCCTCAGAACAGCTCTCAGGTCTGGCGCCCCTGCTGTTCCCAGCCTCGCGACTCATCTCACGGTTGAAGGTTTCATAGAGCCGGGTGCTAAGGGCCCCATAAGAGGACACAGCTTCGGCCACGGCCGAAAAGGCCACCAGGTCGTGGGCATCTTCCAAACGAGCAGTGTGAGCAGAGCCTGAGGCAGCGTCCCAGTCGGGCTTGTGGTCTACCCGCCAAGGACCTGCAGCTCCCAGCAGACTGGGTCCGGCGGGCTCTCTAGCACCATTGACCGGCGCCCCTGAGGTGTTTAGCTGCCTTGAATCTCCATGGTACACTGGCCCTGAGTCCATCTGACCTGGAACAGGTCCATCAACTGGGCTGAGCTCTGAGCCTGTCTGGAGAGAGAGAACAGGGGCGGGGAAAAGGAAAACCATAAACCACACTATTTGTAAAGTATCACCCCGCTTCACACTGCCCACATATACTTCCAAACCCCTCTTTTCCTGCAGACTCTCTCCCTGGTACTTGTTGCGCCTCAGTCTAGCTTCATGCATCCCCACCATTTAGCTGGCTTTACCAGCCACAATAGAAAGGTCTTTAAAAGACCAGAAAGGGGGCAGGGCAACAGCTCCCTTGCAAGCATGAGAACCCGACTCAAATCTCCAGAACCCACATTTGAAAGAAAGAAAAAACCAACACCAACAACAGGAGTAGTAGCACACACTTATAATCTCAAGAGCTGGGGAAGCGGAGACAGGCCAGTCCTTAAGGGTTTGCTGACTAGCCATCCTGGCCTACCTGGCGAGCTCTAGAGTGAGACCGTGGGGGTGGGGGTGGACAGCTCCTGAGCTATGACACCCAAGGCTGTCCTCTGACTTCCACAGACACACAGGTGTGCACACATGCAAACACACAAAGAGGTCTTATGTGGCATTCTCAGCGTCACTCAGATCAATTACAAAACCAGCGAACACTCAAAAAGGCCCTTAAGCTTCCACTAACCAGGGTCACGCCAGGGCCCTGTCTACTGTTTGTGTGTCAGCGGGGTAAGAGAACTAACAAACCGAACATGGAATGCTGTGTGGTAAATAGGGAGCTAGGAAGTACACGATTTAGGGAAGCAGCTTTCCCACTGAGCCTGGGTAGGATTAGCCACAGCTTCCCACCAAGGAGGAAACCCACCTTTCCCTTCTCTCCCTGTTAAACCATCTTGTTAGGAGAGCTAGTGCAGTTCCCAAATGCAGCTCCAGGCCTGAGGGAAACCCCACGCTGAGATCCACACCGCCCCATACTGAGTCTGACCCTGCCCGACACTGAGAGCAGCCCGGCTCCATCAGAGCCAGTTGTGAGATGGCATCTGAGAGCCTGCCTAGAGCCAGTTGTGAGATGGCATCTGAGAGCCTGCCTGGAAAGAGTCAGGAACACTCATGCACACAAGAGCATACGGAAGGGAAGGTGAGGCTGAAGTAGGCCCACAGGACCTAGCCCGGAAAGGCAAAAGCAAATACAAAGACATGGCATTAAGTTTGCAAGACTCAACATCCCTTGGAAAATCCTTCCGTTCCTGGGAAGGCCAGGAAAACCCCAGAAGGAATGAGAGATTCCAAGTCACAGGCAGAGGTGGAGCCTGGTGAGGTGCAGGACTGAACTGCTGAGAACCTCCCTGCAGGGGTCCCAGCAGCTGAGGCACAGTCCAACAGCCTGCTCTGCAGCACCCGCAAAGGTCCACTGTGGCTAGTACTACCCAGAACCTCCCTGAGGAATTAGGCCGAACTGGGAGAAGTAGGTCAAAGTGGATCAAGGGACCCCAGCTCCTTTTTTTTTTTTGTTTTTTTTACTTCCTGGCTCCACGAGGTGCGCCCCTTGGCTCTGAGACTTGCTGCCCACCATGACTCTCTGCTTCAAACACCGATGAGGCCAAGTGGCTACTGACTGAATCCTCTGAAACTGTTAAAAATACTTTCAAAAAATTTTTTCCTATCTCTATTACTTTGTTTTGTTTTTCCACAGGAATGGAAAAGTACCTGACAAAAAGGAGAAATTTGGTAAAGACACCACCTTAAGCAAACGATCAGCATTAGATATAACAGTAATTTTCATCATTGTGACCAAATAACTGACAAGAAGCAACTTATGGGAAGGGGATTTATTTAGGCTCACAGTCTGAAGGTGCAATCCATCACTGTAGGTACAGTCTGAGGGCAGTGAGTCACACAGCTGCGCCAGTAAGGGTGTGAGGTCAGTAGACCGGACACACAGAGAGGGAAATGCTGACATTTAACTGGCTTTTTCCTCTTTACTCAGTATAGGAACACAGTTGGGAGTCTTACCCCTTCAGGTAACCTTCCTTAGAAAAGGCCTGAAGGACTCAAGGGTGTGTCTTAAGGCCTAAGGTGTTTCTTAGTTCAATCACAACTACCCAGTACAGTTATCATTACAATATGGCAACATCAGCACTGTGGCCTGCACAGGACACAGAAGGCTGACAGCTCAGAGAACTTCTGCCAAAATGTAGAACCTGAATCTACTCATAAGGAAACTATCAGGTAAACAAAGCTGCAGTGTTCTACACAATACCTGAAGTGTTCTCTCAAAACCTATACTCAAGAAAGAACTTCTTCCAATTTTTATAGACAAAACGCATGTTTATAGGTTAGCTCTCAAACCTGGGGAGAGTAGCACTCGTCCTACCGATGCGATCTGATATCAACACACACCAGACACTGCTTTGACCATACTAATCTTGACTTGGATCATTATAATTAGATAAGAAAATTCTCTTTAATCCCAGCACTCGGGAGGCAGAGGCAGGCGGATCTCTGTGAGTTCGAGACCAGCCTGGTCTACAAGAGCTAGTTCCAGGACAGGCTCCAAAGCCACAGAGAAACCCTGTCTCGAAAAACCAAAAAAAAAAAAAAAAAAAGAAAGAAAGAAAAAAGAAAATTCTTCTGGGATTGTAGCTCAGTGGTAGATCACACGCCAAGCACATGTGAGGCCCTAGGCTGATCACCAGTATGCTCCCTCCAAAAGGTAATAGTTAAATAACTAAAGATTTTAATCTGGGTGCTGAAGAAATTGTTCAGCAGGTAAGAGCACTTACTGCTCTATCAGAAGGCTAGAGCTCAAATCCCAGCACACACTTTGCGGCTCATAAATTCCTGTACCTCCAGCTCCAAGGGATCTGACAACCTCCTTCTAGCCTCCATGGCCGCCACGGCACACTCATGTTCACACACACAAAATCTCTTCTAAAGACAGTGAATGCCTGGTTATTAGGACAAACACACACAAGTATTTAGCAGGAAAGGGACACAATACTTCTGACTTAATCTCAGGGAGTCACAAAATGTTTGGATGTATATCTGAAAATATACATAGAGAGAAAATGATGAAGCAAATGAGACCAAACAAACATTCTGGGACATGGGAGTTCCAGGTATAATTCTTACAAGTTTGTATAAGTTTTAAGATCCTGCCAAAATACAAAGCTAAAAAATGCCTTAGATCCTTGGGTAGCACACAAAAAAGCTTTAAAATGACTAACATACCAGCCCTAAAAATGTCACACATGGCGTCACAGCTCTACAGTCCCCGACACTGTCTGTCACACACGGCCACAGCTCCAGAGTCCCCGACACGGTCACACACGGTCACAGCTCCAGAGTCCCCGAAACTGTCACAGCTCCAGAGTCCCCGACACTATCACACACTGTCACAGCTCCAGAGTCCCCGACACTGTCACAGCTCCAGAGTCCCCGACACTGTCACACACGGTAACAGCTCTAGAGTCCCCAACACTGTCACACATGGCCACAGCTCCAGAGTCCCCAACACGGTCACACACGGTCACAGCTCCAGAGTCCCCAACACTGTCACACATGGTCACAGCTCCACAGTAGCAGTGGCTACTAGGAACCAGGCTGTGGCAATGAGTCTCAGCCCGCAGATCCCATCTCATTACTGCTTTTGGCTTCTCTATGTCTCAGCTTTGAACACGTGGTCCTCGGAGTTTCTGGCCTCTCCAATGGCTATTGTGGTTTATTCTTAAAGCATCACTTCTGCTCTCACCCAGGTTGCAGAGTTAGCTGTGCCTCTTTCTCCAGGACTCTTCCAGGTCCCTTGCATCTATCACAAGCATCACTATTATATGACTAAGCAACTGCCTTCCACAGTGGTGGTAGTCAAGGCAAGGCAATGTCTAAATCCCAAGGGTTCCTGGGCCTTCCCTTCCCAGGGCTGGTACAGAAGAACACTCCTGGGACAAGGAGAGCCTCCTATCCCCCAAAGGCCATATAATATCTGCTGGAAAACTATCTTTAGATGCCTAGAGCAGCAGCCATAAGATACTTTAGAAATGTACAGAAGTGTGGCTTAGACCTGAAGCTACCCAATTTTATGTGCTTCCATGTACAGGGACAGGAGGAGGAGCATGCATAACCAGGAAGAACCATCAAAGAGTTATGAGATTCACAAAAACAACACCAGGAAGACTAATGTTACATGAGCTGAGGCTTCCCCAAAATGGTCAACACAATGAAAAGGGATTTTATAAGTTATTTTTGGTGTATGAATAAGAACCAACTACGGCTGGCTACGTGCCACTCAGTTCCCTCAGAGGGAAAAATGCTTTTCAGACCAAAAAGAGAATAAAGGGAAAAGGAGACACAGGCATAGAGGGGAAGGAAGAAAAGCCAGCACGGTAGGAGAAAGAAGAACACCCCAAATTCCAGTTTCTTTGCTAAGGAACCCCACTGATATATTTCTCAGAACCTGCTGGACAGCTGGGAGCAAACTTGCCAGCAGAAGCTGCCACTGAGCACAGAGGACAAGCATGTTCCCCAACTTTCAGTCCCGAGTTGGAAAGCTGGTAGGTTCTTGACTGGGCAGAGGTACCACCAGCATCCAGGTTCCGGAGAAGACCGTCAGCTCAATGGCTTACAGCCTACGTTACCATTAGTCCTGTGGCTAATAAAGCAGGGGAGTTACACTGATACCATGATGCCCAGGTCAGAACCTCAAGAGCTGCCAGCTCCAGCGTAGCTGGCTTGTCCAGAGTTAGCGTTTATTTATTTAGACAAATTTTAAAGCTCAAGTTGTACATGAAGCCTTGATTTTTTTTTTTTTTTTTGGTTTTTCAAGACAGGGTTTCTCTGTGGTTTTGGAGCCTGTCCTGGAACTAGCTCTTGTAGACCAGGCTGGTCTTGAACTCACAGAGATCCGCCTGTCTCTGCCTCCCGAGTGCTGGGATTAAAGGCGTGCGCCACCATCGCCCGGCTTAGCCTTGATTTTCTTGAGGTTTTATATTTCTACCTGGCAAATTCGCCTATAGCAGAGAGGAGTTACTGCTTATACAGGATATAGCACACTCCCCATCTCAACACCAGTGTAGCCTTCT